GAAAAAAATATTGAAAAAAATTTGTTTTTTTTTTTTTTTTTTTTTTTTAATCGAACAGTTTATTGAACATTTTGACTATATATATATATACGATACGATACGATATACTTTATTGTCCCCTTAGGGGAAATTTTTCTTGGCTTAGTGTATGCTGCATATACACACATAAATAAACAAAGCACATAAATCACACATGAAGCCTACTAAACAGGGGGGCAAAGCATGCAGACAGTATATCAAAAGTCACAGTGCACAACGGAACAACCACTATTACACAACTTCCTGACCCATAAAACCAGTAATAAATAACAATACCAGCAATAAATAAGAATAAAATAATGTAAGACACTGCACAGAGTTAAGTGATGACTACTAACCAGAACCAAGTCACTGGCCATTGTCCTAACCATTCAAAATTCTAATAGAAGCAGGCACAAAATAATTTTTAAACCGATTGAATCGACATTTGGGCACTCTATACCTTCTTGCAGAAGCACGTACTCAGGGTGTAAGATGTGAGAAGGATTAGCTAGTATCTTATGAGCCCCTCTGTGCACAGACTGCTCAAATAATGTTTGGAGAGATGGATAGTCTTTGAGGTCCACGAGTTTCATGGCCATCCGGAGAGATTGCCATACCAAGCTTGGATCCAGTGCCTAATTAGACTCTCCAGAACAGCCTGGTAAAACACAGTCATGATTTTTTATTGACACCATAAAGACGGATTCTCCTCAAAAAGTACAATCTTTGTTGAAGTTTGGCACATAAATTGTCAACATGAGTCTGCCATGTAAACATGTTGGCAATATGGATGCCTAGGTACTTGTAGGAACACACCTGTTTGATTTGAGTGTTGTAAATAACAGCAGGACTGTGGTCACCGACTGCTCTGGGGTCAAAAACAATCTCCTCTGTTTCTTTGACATTTAAAATCAATGAATTGGCATCACACCGCTGTTCACATTTTTTTTTTTATCTCAGAGTGCTAAAAAGATGAATCACTGTCTTTATACAGTAGACTCAAGATCGCTGTATCATCTGAGAATCTGAAGATATAATTCCCCGTGTGTGAGCTTACGCAGTCATTAGTGTAGAGTATAAAAAGCACAGGCGAGCTCACACAACCCTGAGGAGCACCTGTGTGCGTAATTTTTGGATCTGATAGGGTGTTATTGATCTTCACAACCTGAGTACGGCTGGTTAGGAAAGAGTAATACCATTTGATCAGGAAAGGGTTAACATATTTGTATATAAGTTTGCATACCTGTTTCTTAAGTATCGTATTTGGCTTTAATGGCTCATATAGTCTGATACAGTGAGAATATGAAGCTCAATTTTACTCAGAGACTCAAACTAAGCAAAAATATGCAATTTTCTTTAGATGCTGATATTTATATTATGAAATTCTGCTGCTTGTGATGTAAATCAGTGAGATTTTATAACAGTACAGCAGATACTGACATAAAATGATCTAAATATCAGTCATCGCTCTATAACACCAGTAATCTGTGTGAGAGTGTGTGAGAGTGTGAGGGATTGTGTGTGTAGTGTGTGTGTGTGTGTGCGTGCAGCTGCTAGTGGTTGTGGCTGATGAATTGCCTATTTTTCATGTGTTTCAGTGGAAAGACGCGAAACCCGATGACCTCATGGATTCCAAACTCAGATGCGTCTTTGAGCTGCCGTCTGAAAACGATAAAGTGGTGAGTACAGCGAGACGAGCGTCTGCAGTTCACTCCACCCTGCTGTAAATTGAATTATAATTGTATTAATCAGCAGAACGTGCTTGACTCCGAACATTCACCCGTATTATAAGTTGCAGTGAGTGATTGTTTTTTACAGCTATCAGTGAAACAGTCAGCCAATCACAAACACTCCCGGCCTGTGAATCACTCATTCTGATTGGCTGAGGTCTTTGGGAGGCGGGGTTTTAGAGGGGATGGGAGTTTGATTCAGTCTGACATCATCTCTTCAGTTTGAAGTTAAATTTGAAGGAAGAATTTTGTTGTTGTTTTAGTTTCACTGTCGTTTTCTGCACTTAACTAGCTTGTGTGTAGCTTCTTTTCACCGACACTGATACAATTAATCAAAATAAAACTGAAATTGAGATATCTTTAACTCTCACACACACACTCTCTCACACACACACACACTCACACTCACACTCACACTCACACACACACTCCCACTCTCACACACACACTCTCTCACACACACACACACTCACACTCACACTCACACTCACACACACACTCCCACACTCACACTCCCACTCCCACTCTCACACACACACTCACACTCACACTCACACTCACACACACACTCCCACTCTCACACACACACTCTCTCACACACACACACACTCACACTCACACTCCCACTCCCACTCCCACTCTCA